GGATACATTAAGGTAATGGAATAAATTTACCGCACATTCGTATATTAGTGTGTCCTTAGTGCTCCAGTAAGGTTCCAGTTATTGAGCTGACTTCAAGACCATTATTGGTAAACATAATTTGATTTGTCTATTGCTATTAGTGCGTACTTACTCATTCTGTTAAACCCCCTGATTGTTCAGCAAAACAATAGCGCATTGTAAACTTAATTTACTGAGCGCTGGTCAAAATCGCATCCACGTTATTATTCTTTTAATTTTTTTGGCAAGGGAAGATCTTCAAACTGCTGATGCCAGAGGTGTTAACGTGAGGAGGAATACTTGATATATATATATATATATATATATATATATATATATATGACTAACCCATCAGCGTATGCTTCCTGAAGGATTACTAGGAAAGAACCGCTAGACCAAAAAAAGGATCGAAAAAAAGTTGCGAAAAGCAGTGGGAGATTATTTCATGCGCAGACTTTATTATCAATATGTTATTGTGAGACGGAAATAACTAATTAAGACGAGAAAGACTGTTGTAGGTAGGCCATCTGAACTTGTTTTCAGTCGAACATAAGACACGGACCGACGTAGGTACATACATGAAAAAGTTCCGACAGGTTTATGTATACTTATACGTAAACGTAACAGGGAACAAGATAAACCTTGATACTGACCTCCTGATTGCGTCTGTATTCTTCTTCCAGGCGGAGGGAGACCCTGTCTACGGCAGACAGACGGGTGTCGAGCTCATTTAAAGTCTCGGCTACATCTGGATAAATGGGCTGAGCTTCACTGGCAGTCTGAACATCCACACTGCGCTTAATTCCAAACGTCGAAGTCGGCCGTTCGGTACCTGTACTCCTACCTGAAAATTGGTTGACCAAGTTAGTCCTTGGAGCAACCTGTTCGTCTTTCGCCTCATCAATTTCAGTAGACTTTTCCTCTATCGCTTCCAAACATGGACGTTTCACTCCAGGCGAGTAGCTCGGAGGACTGCTTGGCTGTTTGTCTGAATTCACAGTATTAACTCTGGATGTGTCAGGCTGTCTCCCATAGCCCGAGCTAGACACATCCCCGCTTTCTAGGCTCACAAACGTTTGCCCGTCTATCTGCATGCATGAAACGAAATAACACATTGCATTTCAACAATAGGAAGATCATTAAATGTGATTTTTTTCACGTTTATGGAAAACCATTTCGAACAATCTCAGATCTCAAACTGAACTCAATTGGGCATAGAAAGGAAACGTCTGATATACAAACTAGGTTACCAAAACCTTGTAGAAAACTTTATAATTGGTTGTTTTAATGCCATGCTAGTCCAAGGGATAAAGTTCTGTTAGAATTAAGTTTCGCAGGTATTTCGGAATAACCAGACGAACTAGAAATCCAGAATTCAGCGCAGCGTAACAAGCAACACGTATGTATTCGAATTGGCGTGTATGTACAGCATATGGAATGTTAAAACAAGAGGATAATGAATAGAGCAATGAACAGAGTATCAGTCATGTTCATCACAATTTAGTTGTACTTTCGGCGTACTTGAAGACTGACCTACAAAACAGAACTTGCCAACTGGTCATTCCTTCCTGTTGAGCGAAATTCATTGTGCACAATTTTGAAGGTGTTCTTTTTACCATATCACATTTTTCCCGTCCTGGCGCGGTAAGTCAGATTAGTTCAAAATACGGATATTCGGTCGACTCAACTTTTGGTTTTATGATGGCTCAACATCTGAAATCTGAGGCCAGCTCGGTCACACCACCAGTGGTAGCCACGCTTGTGTTTATGCGGACGCTTTAGATATCTGTTTCAGATTAGCTGTAGTCCTATCGGGACATCTTGAGACTACTATTGAAAAACTTCTTTTAATGCGAACAACTCAACCCTAGTTGAAAACTGTGGTACTAATTATGCAACTGGTACCTTCTAGTATTCGACGGTATAAAACTTTGGTGAATTTTCGTATGCATTATCAGAGTGGCGTTACAGTGTTTGCCGCCAATCAGGACTGGATATAACGTGAATTTCGGTACTAATTCTAACAGCAAAAGCTTCTTTATCCAAGTGATTAGACTTACAACCTTGTTTGTGGAATCACTGAGCGATTGGACCAAACTAACTGACAAATAGGCCATCACCAGCCTGCATTCCAGAATATGTTATGGAGGGAGTGTCGAATTATGCCAAAGCATATCATATAAACTATGTGCAGGTATTAGACCATTAATCATGCTCCCTCACTTGATCCCATAAACTCCACGCATTCTCTATCCTTTCGATACAAATCACAACAGTTTTTACCAGGTGGATTTTCAGCATGGATCAGAGACGCACCTTAAAACCTCCAGAGTTTGTGTTGTGGCGTGCGTCTCATATCCGTTGGACGCCTTGTTTATCTTGCGTCACTCACTGGTACTCTACGGTCACTTATGTTCTTATGTAAGAAGAAAAGCAATTTTGTACCGACAATCCTTGTTGCGCATTACACCAGGTGGTTGCGTGATACAAAGCCGAATGCACCTGTTGTACACAAATGTGTACACTTAGCCGTTGGTGCTGTTTACCGGTTGTATGGTTGATCAATTCCAGCATCACCTTCTATTTCTACAGCGGAACTTTTTTCGGCTTGTTTTACATAATTCAACGTCTCTGTCTCGTTAATAGGAGTTAGCTTAATCGAACATCTGTTAGTCTCAACGTTATCTGAGGTGTTCAAATCCGACCAGGCAGCATACATAAAACAGACTACTTAGAATGCCAATTTTATATCCGTTTCATGTTTTCATGAGTTCTGTGGCTAATCTGGTTGGAATCACAAAAAAATCTTACCAGATCAGCGTCACTCATTTTCTGATGGTGCATTAGTTTGGTTCACAGGGAATTTACTCGGCTGAATTGAAGCAACGAAGCAAAGCGCCACGAAGGAGACATTCAAAATTTACAGTAACGCTAGTTGTTTTTCAGCAAACATATCAGATGGCATTTAGAATATGACAAGATTATTAAGAAAATATGATAGCGGAGGATAACTTTTCGACCAAAACATTTCAGTAAATTTCTCCATGCGTAAAGTGATCAGATGAACTACTCAGCGTTCCACTGTTTTTACCTGCTTTGAGAACAATTAGCTCAGCTAAGAACAATGAGGCAGCGGTTCAAGTATTTTTTCATGCTCTCAGTTATTTCAGACGCAGAGGGCCTATTCATCCTCGCAACAGTTCACCTGATCAATGAAACAGTTATACTGAGAGGAGGTTTGTGACACTTCACCGGTACGTGAAGATGTTTCTGGGAGTCCTGTTCTAGTGGAATCTAACTCCAGTAGTCCTACCTTAGTTTATTTGTCACAACGTTCCTTAATCAGACCAGTGATCATGACAGTTACCTCGCCTCGTTACTGGCCTAAACGACGAACCTCACTACTAATACATTGACATTTTGGTGACATATATCAGATGATTATATTATATTATATTATATTATATTATATTATATTATATTATGTTATATTATATTATATTATATTATATTATATTATATTATATTATAAAGTTTGTATTTCATTATACCGTGTGTTTTGATGGGCGGTTTGTACCACATACCACACGGATCGACAGTTGCACCAAAAACTACAACCATAATGAGGAAAGGTTTTCTCGTTGTTTCACGCATTTTTATCAGTCTGTTAAATGAGGCCAGATTGCCCTTGCAAGTTTCTAAAACATCACTTCAGTAAACGTAGATAAGTTTGTCACACTGTCTGGGCACATCAGTGGATATCTTTGACCTGATCGGATCTGAATTTTACGTGGCAACTTTTCGGAGCGGGACGTTTCACTTTTTGTGTGGTGACAAGGTTAAAACGTAAAAAAGAACCCAAGAAGTTTTAGGTAGCGAAGAGATTTCACACCATGAATGGGAACCATTTAATTTGACGGAGTTTTGACTCATACGTACTGCACTGTCACTTTATAATTGTTGGGAGTTATCAGTAGTGAGACAAAACTCGGATGGGATCCATTTATGTTAGGAGGGAGAAATGTACCAAAAACTCACCAATTGTAGGATTTTATCTATATCGGCTGGAGACAGCATCATGTCCGGGAGTGTTACCGAAACGGCTACAGAGCAAACGTGCAGAATAAGTAGTGAGTAGAGAGGACAGATAAACTCCTACTTTATGAAAATATATATTTGATACACAAACGAGGGTCAGAAAAAAACGAATAAGATGAAAAGCGGACCAAATTGAAACTTTTTACTCACAATTCGTCTCCTGACATGAGAGGTTGACTAAAGTCGGTCCATGTCGACGGAGATAGCACGGCATGGGAGCTTAAATTTTATAAGAGCTTTTTAGAGGTGCATATGTTTGACTGCCCTGGACCATGGATACCACACACACGCAGGACAAGCAAGTCACCAAAGCGAGCTGGAAACACTTAAATTTTCAGTACTAAACAGGCAGGTTCTTTGTACTTTGGGCCCTTTCATTGGTTGCTCCGAAGCCTAGATAACGACCCGTCCAGGTTACGGGCAATTGAGTGACCCCTTGTGAGGACCTGGCAGTGAGTAGAGTTGCCGAACCTGGCGGCAACTTCCGTCTTATGCTATTGAGTTGTTCCGAAATGTAGGATTTTCTTCCATAGCACGTTCGTCCTATCCTGCTGTCCAGGAACACATTTCCTGATCAATCTATACCAGGCACCAAGTTTGGTTAGCTCTCATCATAAATTATCAGCATACGAGCTTAAGTGGTCTGTGCAGCTGCTGGATGTGGGGGACTCTAATGGGCATTCATGAACCTTTATAACCAAGATATTTACGGTTTTTTGTTCAGTTTCACATCACTCTCGTTTTGAATAGTTGTCCTCCTGTCCCGGCACAATTATTCTGGTGAATCCACACCAAAGGGGGAGGGTGCATTGGACTCGAATTTCGATCTTGTTAGAGCTCATCAGCAGGGCATATCCAATGGCCGTGCCGGGGTTTGGAACTCCGGAACCTGACATGCGAGGTGAACGTGTTGCCACTGTTCCACCAGCGTACGTTGCACGCATCTGAATTCTCACGTCTGAACGGGCGAACGTCTTCGCACTTGAGCGATGTGGTTAGTATCGTCTCGCATGTCAGGTGTCCGGAGTTCAAACCCCGGCACGGCCATTGAATATGCACTGCTGATGGGCTCTAACAGGAGCAAAACTCGGGTCCAGTACTTCCCCCCTTTGGTGTGGATTCACCAGAATAATTGTGCCAGGACAAGAGGACGACTATTCAAAACGACAGTAATACAAAACTGAACAATACACCTTCCACAAAAACCCCCAATTTCGGAGTTTTGTTACTTAGGTCGCTGACCAAGTGCAAGGATCTGACACTTCAAGTGCATCTAGCATGTGATGACGGAGCAGCATTAAACCGCTTGCCGCGTGTGTTATATGACCACAGGTCTATCCCAGATATGACGACAATATAGGCTGTCGATAGGCCTGGCTAAAAGAGGAAATCCAGTTCAGTCATTATGATTGGTGCCGGTCAATGAGTAAAACAGTGTTTTAAAAATCGGTAATTCAGGCAAGAGGGACATGGACACAGTGACGTGAACTTATAGGTCGTTAGTTCACTACCTTCAGAGAATCTGCAAAACTCTGGCCTAAGATATGAACTTCGGATTTTATGGTCGGATTACTTACCTTTATTTGCCATTTTCATCTCAGCTCTTTCCTTTCTAGCTGGCAAACTTGAAAACTGAATTCCTTTATCATTTTGAATGTGCAATGCTGAGGAATTTGACGTCGTATTGTCGAAAGCAGAAACACGTTTCCCTTTGTTATATCCTTCCAAAGATGCCACACTTTCTGGATGGAGCGCCACGTTCGGTACTGGTGCCAAAAATATTTCGTCCTGTTTAAGGAACACCTGTTTCGATCCTGAGATATCCCCAGCTGAATTCCTGCCATATTCGTTCAGATAGTTGATCATTCGTGGCTCTTGAGGTAATGGTTGAGGTAAACGCAACAACTGGGCTGGCTCCATGAGTTTGTCCATCAGATCACTTTCCGGGTAGGTCACTTGAATTAAGTCTGAATGCAATAATCTAGGCGGTGCCATTACCGGCGGGCTCGAGCAAACCTGGGGAACCATGGACAACAGAGATTCGAGGGGAAGAAGCTGGTATTTGGTTGGGGCATACCACCGTGCTGTTTCAGAATACTCTGATGGCCAGCTCAATTTTTGGAAGGATGTTTCACCTGTCTCTTTTCGTAGTCGCTTGACTTCTGGTGGTATCTCCATGAGAGTAGTAACTCTGCCGGATAGTGACAGAATTTGATCATCAAGCCTGAGTAGCCGCAAAGGTGATGGAGCTTGAAACAGAGGTTTGATCGCTTGTTCTTCATCTAAAGTAAACTAATCAGAAACGAAGAAATAATGGTAAGTGACATTTGAAAACTAAACCACGGCTCGCTTCAGAAAATGGATCAAGCACGTTGGCCAGCATGAATCATTATGGAAGTTCTATTCAATTGAGATGTGAATTTAACTGGTTTTGGTGAGGCATTAACTTTGTGGGTCAAGCTGCTGCGTTTTTTTCGTTTGAAAAGTCAAGCCCACAGCAACCCGTCAATTTCGTTTGCATTCACGCTATGAAGTTTTATTAGCACAGAACATGTTTAAACCGGTGTACACTGGTTGAATTAACCTCCGTTTCTAGAATTGTTTTAGGCAGGTGGAGAACCAAGAACAGTTTTGAAGCATTTAGTTGACCTAGCTGTGAACTGAAGTAGGCCGTCAATAGAGAACTTTATAACCCAGGAAGGGAGTTTTTAACAACTTTCAAGAAGTCCTTCGCCAGTGATGAGTCGACGAATGGCGGAGATCCCAGATTCGAAATACCGCACCCTAATGGTCTCAAGGCCGAGATATTCAGTATATTCACATTTTACTCTGCTTCTCATCATCCAGAGAAGGGCAGAAGTTAGGTTTCCTCATCGGCCCAACATTTGTTCATCCACCTCAGCACACAAAAATCCCTCGGCCGACACCCAACAGAGATTTAGCTTGACTTAGCTGATTGGTTCTCCGTTCAGCCTCAAATCTCGACCAACCTCGGAACCTAGTCACCTGGCCTGAAGAAGCTTTTGTTTCCCAAGCAAAACTTTGCCCAGCAATAAATCTACCGATTGTCACCAAACCTTTTCGAAAACAGAAGGTACTTACTTCAAAAAGACTGCATGGGCGACTAGGCTATCAATAATGTGATTAGTGGATTTCACTGAAATCAATCCGGTGGTTGAAAATTAAGTAAGCACCTTACTCTCATCACACAGTTTCAAACTACGTGACTGTTTTTGTCCATATTTAGGAAGTGGAAGGGGCAGGATTCCGTTGACTACTGATACCTTTGGAGACATGACAAGGGTCAAATATCTTGCGCTAATTTTCACCTGTAACTTACACATCAAGTTAAAACCCTAGCTGTTACGGTGTGCTAGCAAAAAGCACACCGAACAAATAGCACTTATACTGATAAACTGAAGTCAGTGAGACAGCAAATTTTAACCAGTGAGCAGAAGAAACAAAGCGTCATTTCGCTTAATTTGTCTGGCGTACTCAAAGCTAGAATGCTTAGGTGAATTTTGGAAGAGATGAAGAGGATCTTGGTCATCGAGTGAAAACTGATGCCATACATACGGCAGGGACGCAACTTTTACAAAACATCGTTCAGCTGCTTCAAACGATGAGCGTATTCACGATGGTTAGAGCGTTTCGTCGTTATCATAAAAATCCTACAAAATTACGCAAGCAAATTATGACAACTTCAGTAAATAGAGGTTATGTCTCTGACCGCTGTCTATATCAGGTCTGAAGAAGAAACTTGTGGTTCCATCGTGCGCGCGAAACACGAAATTACCGGGGAATATTGAGAGCCATTTACCAAAGCCTAGTGAATTTTCGAACTATTCAGTAAGCACGGAGATAAATAGATTAATACCTCTGGCGGATCCACCTTGTGGTACGCTGCAGACGATGGTGTCTCTTGTTAGAATAGCAAACTCTGAGTTTGTTGAAGCAACCCGATATACCAGTTGTGCACGTCTCTTCTGAAATGTGACAGTTCGTTTTAGAAATATCACTCAAAAAGCTATTTGACAGTGTTATCCACAGTCAGGAGGCGCCCAGACATGTAAAAAGGACATGTGCAGAGAGTGACGCATCCCCAAGGTCACCATCAGTACGACACGTCCGGAAAGCAGGTGCTTTGGCGGGGCTCACCAAACACGTCTTAGCAACATAAGACCAGTAGAGTGGAGCTCAAATTGTTCACGCCAGGAACACCACTATTGGCTGTACAGAGCAAACAAGTGAACGACCATATTTGGCCATTCAGTCATCCTATATATTTACGCAGAAGCTCTGTGTTTTGTCCTGACAATACAGCCGTGTCCCGTGTTCTCTGTCTTCTTCTTATCGCGTAGTCTGACAGGCTCAGCGCAGGTGTAACCAATAGACGGCCACCCACGATACAACATCCACACACTTCATTAGGGTTACTTTACTAGCTCCGCTGAACGTGTCATCAGTCTAATAACGATATTAGATCCAGGGAGATGAAGCAAAGCTATTCCGTATTCCAACTACGCCAAGGTTTCTACTTTGTTAGCGAATTTTTTAGCATGAGCAAATTTTATACACTTCATTTTGCGCTCAAGCGATTCCAACTAATTGCTGAGTTCCCTCTGAATGTGGAGCTAAGCTGCAGTCAACTAAATTGACACGGAAGCACTAATGATGAAACGCTTGAGATGATAATAATGAAAGATTAAATAATAAAAAAGTACACGCATTAGAAAACAAATTTGGTTTTGAGGGAGACTCACCTGTAACCCAGGGGAATTTCACCTGTATGAGGTTTGTGTTTGTGAGTGGTGTATTACGTCTATGCACGTGACATTCAAATTCACGGTAGGTAGATTTCATCCATACCTTTAGTCTATCGCTGTATAGTCAAAGCCCTGAGGAGGTCATCAGATATTATATATTCGGCGACGCACTTCAACGTGTTAGACCGATGCACTGAGCCCACACGGTCTTTGCTCAAGAATAAATTCTAGACTCCCTCAACAACTGGGTTCTGTCAGGGTGGCACCTATATTTTTAGGCTGAGACGCAAACCAGCCGATCTGTAGTGAACTCATTTAATGAATTCTCTGATGGTTGCGGACAATTTTTGGAAACAGATAGTCGAACATCCAGCAAAGCTTGGATCTACTGGCAGTTCTCTAGAGGTCGAGGAAGGCGATCAAAAGGCTCAAACATTATACAACATGGTCCAACTCTAACTGGAAACTGTGGTAGCCACATTCGTCTCGATGTCTTGGCTTTGAGCGGGTACTAAACACATTTTTTGGATTTCACCATGTCCAAACACCGACCACTTTGTTAATTAAAGTAAGCTGCCGTAATAAAGCAGCGCCATGCTTTGGGATTCAGTGAACACTTTTAATGTGTGCAAACTATTCAACCAAAGTTTTTGCGTCGAGTTAAAGCCATCTTGTTTTTCACTCTGTATGAGGTTGACTAAAACTCCTTCGTATTTCAAGTGCTTCATAGCTTCTTTATTGCGCAGATGATGTCGACAGGACGATGCAATTCAGCAGGCTTGTTTAAACTTTTCTAATAAAGCTGAAAAGTTTGTCACCCTGACATTTGGTTTTAGTGTTTTTTCTTGTTCAGTTTAAAGCATGTAATTTGAGTGGATGTGGCTGATCATCCGTAAAAAATGCGTTCCTCTGCAAATCACTTTGCTTTTGATGACAGGTTTATCTGAATCGTGTTCACAGTATTTTCCAACTGATGTGCTGCACTAAGGCCATCTCGTGTTTTAGTTCGGACGATATCCGAATTATCGCAGTAAAACTACATATAAGATCGCTGAAAATTCTTCGACAGCTCACGACCGAATTCACCCTTCGTGAAACAAGCGATTCAGCTTAGATTCCATCAAGTGTCCCGCTGAAAAAAATTAACGTGAAAATGAGTGTATTCCGCGAACTCGACACACCTGGGTTTCAAGTAGAACATAAATTTGACGGAGACTCTGCGGCTGCGCCTACACGATGGGACCCAAGTACACTGAAATGGGTTGCGGGATGTCAGAGGGTATTTAGCAACCTTATGAGTGGTTTCTTTCAAGTGGGTGAGTATTGTTTTGTCACGGTAGATAAGAGATACAATCTGTTTGTTGATTTTATCTTACCTTCTGGACAGGATCCTGAGTGTCCATCGGAATCCGAAGTAGCATCGGAGAGGACAGACTGGGTGGTCCCGCTGATCGTTCCAAGGGACTGAGAAGAATAAAACAAACTGATGTTACTGAAGAATTTCGAAAGTTCAAAAACTTATTCAATTATCACAAAAACTGAATCGTGTAAGATGTGCTTCAGTTCTATGTTACCGGCAACTTAATTCGCATTTGAGTTCAAAACCAAAAACCAGACAGTGTTAAGAATGAATTAGACGTGTTAAATCCGAAACGTTCATACATATTCGGTGTTTAGAACGTCGAACGCGCCTATCAAGATCTGCGTCGCCACATTGAATTACTAGCATACTTAATCGGATTTTGACGTTTTCGTAGTCATTTTACATGCTATCCAGAATGAATAAATATCGGAATTTCTGCGGTCATCTAAATTTAAATCACATCTTCCATGTCACCATGGTGATTTTAGCGCGGTAAGGCTTCTTTCTTCAAGTTGTCAGAGTCACCTGAAATTCTAACTTGTCATTGTGACCATGTAACCGTGAATGAATCTGCGCTTGCTGCTTGGGTTTGCCGGTGACATTAGCCTGAATATTCATACCGACGCTGGGTTATTCGTATATTCGATCTCATTTGAGGAAGAAGCTAACGACTCAGGTGAATACTGGGGACTGACTTGGTCCATGGACTCAACAAGAATATTGGGCTGGTACAGATGTTGGACTTAAAATTTGTTCAATTATTCGGGAAAAGCAAAGAGTTAGACCATAATGGAGACTTCGTCCTCCAAGAAAAGCCAATCTATGCTGAAAAGCCAAAAAGCACTGTGAAACTAATGCGTCTTTATTGGGAATCAGCGTCCATTTCACGAAACTCAGAGTTTCAAAACGGAAGCTTTCGGGCCAGTGATTGAACACGTAACCGTTCCACCACGAGGGACTGATTATTGGCGTGATTGACCCGGAATTAGACAAGTCACCGGATCAGTCACCGGATCCACATCACCCGGTCACAAGAACTGACAGTTTTTTGGGTGACGATTTCTCAGACGGGTTTCATCGGTCGGATGGATTTTATTCTTCCTTTGAGCTACTTACATAACATTAGCAGTATAACCATATTTTAGTATAACCATGTTTCGATGAAAACCTTAGTGGATTTATTGAGATGCGCGCTAAAGATGTCTCCTAACAAAGGTAATACAGCTCAGCACAGCTTCTCAGCTATTCAGCAAATACTGCCTTCGATTGCATCACTAAATTACCATTAAAATATTTTTACCGTTGATTACTTCTGTTCTCTGGTATACTGATGGAAGCTGAAGCACTATGACCACTTGAAAAGACCCAAGAGGGATGAAATCGGAGAAGTTTCACCAAACTTATGAACAGACTTCCGTCAAGAAAATAAATACAGCTATCTGGAAAATCGTGCCAACTGAAGCGAGTGGTGGTCTTTGTGGAACACACTCATTTGAATGCGAATAATTCATAAACAAGGGATTCAGATCACCTAACTCCCCATTTAAAGTCAGCTTAATTAAAAAACAAGCATCTTTCTCAAGGTGCACAAGATTTGTTGTCTATGTATAACATAAAGTTGATGAGAACTTAGAGACCGTGCTTATCTGATGAAGCTTGAGCGAATCTGCGAGAAGCGTGTTTGTTTGAGCAGGAGACGTTGTTCCACTCTTTGGATATGGGTAGCTGCCTTGCCAACATTGCCACATCTACAAACCGACTGCTAATATGAAAAAACGAATAGTCGCAGGGCAACTAAGCAGATAGAATTTTTTAGAGCATTCGAATATGATGACCATTTTTGGCGGAAAACGCATTCTAATACAGTCCAGTGATCAAAAGTTATTTGCCTTTTATTGTCCGATTTCATTCAACAGGGTCAGTCAACAGATTGTCAGCCCACCGGTGACACACTAAACAAAAATTTTGTTCAGATTGTCGATATTTGGAGTTTTTTGTAAGGTTGCTTGCTACCTAGATAGACCACCATACATTAAGATTCTTTGATGGGACACGAAAATATAAAAAAAATGTTTAGGGATGCAAAACTACTGTCGGACAACGTTCTTTCCACCAAAAGATATTTGCCTTGAACTTACCTATTGACAAGAAGGATGGGACTGTTACAAGCATTGGAGGCGGCTTGTGCATTCTGTTGTAAACGGCGCAACTCACGACGGTCCTTGGGAACAATCATTGCATGTCTTCTTAAAAGCGACCATGTTGGCTTCGGTTTCTTCCCCAGTGGAGGTTTTGGCAACAGCTGTGTCATTCTGTAATAAGGAGCAGTGACACGAAATTGCTGCGAAGAAAAAAATGTAGGATACAACGCTGGATTATAGGCTAAACATTTTGACAGAATGTGGGTCTCAACTAATAGTGCAGGTGTGGGGCTAATCAGGTGTTATGGTTAATACTGCCTGTCACATTTTACACTTTAAAATGTCACAAATCTTTAGGTGTGCTCAAGCTCTACTTGGACAAATGCGGCCCTCGAACTTTCTCAGAATTCCGCATTCTATCAAATACACTTTTCTCTGCAAAAAATCTTCCCCAGTTTATTGCTATATGTGCGCCTGTAGCGGATTTCTACTAGATCGCGCGTCACAACACCCAAACCACGCGACAATTCCTGTCCCACCTGAAGCCTTAGTCGACAACAACTTCCCATCCAGTTTTGTTTACGCGGCTACCATAGGCGTCATGCCCCGGGCTGATGAATTTTAACACACCAGATCAGTAGTAGAAGTATTTTATCTTTTGTACAGCTTTCGGTAGCAAAATGGCACAACTCGTCAGATTTTCACCTTGATTCTTCAATTAGCTAAGTTTCGTAAACGGGCTTGACTAGTTTTGAACCTTTTTTTGTTTGCAGGATCTCTCATTTTTTGCCGTTTGGCACGGGCCTTACGGCTACTTTCGCAATCGATTTTTCTTTTCCTTTTCCACAACATGTGCCACTTTCGTTGAAAGAATATAACAACAAGGCATTGGTATTAATTTCGAGTGGTGGATTACAAACAGTACAGTGTCAGATAGGGAC